CGATATGCTCAAGAAAAAAAGTTGCTCTTCATGGAAGAAAAGGACTAGCATGAAAGAGAAGAGGCTGTCAAACTAACCAAGATGACTGCCTGCAGAGAACCAAACAAGCAAGCTCTGATGATCAAACAAAAGATGGCTGCAGGCAAATCATCCTTGGCTACCAAACTAGACTCTTGCCTTCATGTAAGACCTCTCTTCTTCCTCTCCAATATTGTGACCTCTTGATGCAAATGCTTACTGTCCGTGTCTCTATTTATAGCCCATTTAGAGAATATAGACATCTGATTCTGATACAGTAGACATTTGGCTATTAATTTTCCCTCTTTTCTCTTCCATTCTTTGTGATCTTCAACCTCCTTCATCTGCATATGCATAAGTAGAGTGCAGCATGTACTTTCCATGCCCATAAAAAGGAATATATTCTATTTATACATATATATATTAAAAAATGTATATTAGGAACCAATTTGTGTGTATGCTTCCTGACCTTCTTGCGTTATATAGTTGATAGAAATGGAATTTCAACGGTTAAAAAAAAGCACTTCTCAATACTTTTTTTTCTTTTTTCTTTTTTCTGGAAGAGTTGAGGACTGACTTGATGGATGAGACACTCCTTTACTTAGCGTGATATCTAACATTGAGTATTACTACTATAAGTATAACTTTTCTTTCTCTATTTATAAGGTATGATGTCTAACATTGAGTCTTATTGCTGCAAGTGTATTTTGTTTTTCTTCTTTTCCTTCACTAACTGATTGAAAAAAATAAAAATTAAAAGAAAAAAAAAATCTTTTGTGGTTCTGGTCAACCATTGCATTGCACATTGGCAACCCAACTTGCACCACCATTCACCAAGTCAATTTAACTCAAGTTTCAACTTTCAACTCCTTCGAGTCATGCCATGACAAGCCACTTTTAGCCTTACCGGCTCAACGAGTTAATATTGAGATTTTTGTGTTTTTGTTTTTGACACTAGTAAGTTTTAATTTTCTTTTATTTTTTATTTTTTATTTACAAAAAGTCAATTGTTAGTTGTTACATTAACACTTTAAAGAAGTTGAACTCCTATCTTCTCCTTTTAAGTGATGGTGAGTATTGGGAATCTAGATGAACCTTTTTGTCTAAAAAGATCCCTTTGTCATGTTTTATTTTTGCTTTTGTTTCTCACTAAGCAAAACAGGACTTCAATTTTATAAAGAAAATTCTTTCTCATCATTTCTCGTCCCTTTTTACTGTTTCTTATTTCTTTAATCATTTAAACAAGTGGTGAGAGATCTTTTTCTTTCAAATTTTTATTTGTTTTTTCTTCCCCTTCTTCTCATCAAATCTTTGAATCCAATACGGTCAAGTTCGTACTGATTATTTGCACCCTTTTTCTTTCAAATTTTTATTTATTTTTCTTCCTCTTCTTCTCATCAAATCTTTAAATCCAATACCCTTTAGTTCGTACTGATTATTTGCACCCTTAGATTTTGCTAAAGTTACGTAAATGCTGTAAAAATGATATTTTTTTCCTATGGATTTCAACAATTTTTTACACCTGATATGTGATTCTAAATAACAAACATTATATATATATATATATATATGTAAGACTCAATCTTAATATTTTTTTTAGATATGGTAAGGTTTACATAAACACATTGTAGTTGTTGGGCCGGTGACTGGTGCTGTCACAACACCTGTGTTATGACGGCTTATTGGGTTTATTTTAAGTTTATTTTAATTATTTGAACAACTTATATTATAAGATTCGTTGAGTATATCATTTATATTAAAAAAATGAGGTTAATTAGACATGCGTAATCCCATGATCAGACCCAAAGTATTTCTTAAAAAACTATCAAAATTATGCTAATAATTATTTTTTAAATGTGGTATTGTTGTGGCATTACAGATGTCTAATTAATCTTTTTTTTTTTAATTTTTTTTATTGATTATCTATTCAACAAACTCTACTATATAAACGATTCGAATAATCAAAAGATGTTCATGACACGCTTTCACAGGCTCATAGCATGAGTGTTGTGTCTATATCCAGACTCCCAAATTTTATCCACTTAGAAGGTGATTAATAAGAGAAAAATTTAGTGTATAAAATGATTTTATAGAATCAATTATATATTAGACAAAAAAGGTGAGATCTATTTGTGTGAGACTCACACGTGGATTTCATTCTTTGTGTCTCATTAATAATTGTTTCTGTGAAAAGTTTTTTTTTGCATGTGGCATAGCTCGATTAATAAATCCATATATGGATAAATAATTTTTGATCCAAATCTTATGTAAAAATTTCCCGACTGTGCCAAGTAAAGAATTAGAAAAGGCCTTCTAGTATCCCAAATGCTATTAACCTTAATATACTACAAATAAATCACCACCATCTATCTATACTATATATTAAGTAAAAGAAGATTTTTAACTCCCAAGGCGTGTGAGAGCTTCAATATGTCAATCTTAATTTTCTAATTTTTTAATTTTAAAAAAAAAAATTAACCTCAGTATTTATTAATTTCTCTCAACCCACAAGACTTTTTGACTTCTCTCATAATTACTGCAATACCTTTTCCAAAACAAATAATTTGTATATTAAAAAAAAATTAAAACAAATATAAATATCTATATCTATCTATTTATTTATAGTTATCTCTAACCCACAAGTATAGTGGGAGTTCCAATATCTGAACTTTAATTTCTTTATTTTTTTTATTTTTTTTTGAAAAAAAAAACTTACCACTTATTAAATTCTTCAAGTCTTTTTAACTTCTCCAATACACACACTCTTTTTAACTTTTCACATACCTATTGCAAACAGTGAGTCTCCTTTTTATTTTCTCCTTCTTGACTTCTCACTTCTACACTTTCAACTTCAGTGACCACGTATGCAAACAGCAAGTTTTCTTTTTGTTTTCTTCTTTTTGACTTTTCTTTTTGTTTACTGTTTTAATATTGCAGTTAGATAGTGCATAAAAATATTTGTAATTGAAGTTAGTTAAAAAATCAAATTATAATTTTTTGATTATAATTAGTTGAATGATTCTTTTTTTTTGTTAATGTGATTGTAGTTAGTTTAATAGTTCTTTTTTTTCATTTATTTATTTTATTATATGAAAAATGTGATGTGATTGTAGTATGTTCAATGGTTCTTTTTTTTTTAATATGATTGGTGTAGTTAGTTCAATAGTTTTTTTTTAATGTTATTTAATCTTTTTATTTACTATTTTAATTTTATTTTTGATTTTAAGCAAAAGGGGATTTTTAATCTCAAGCCTTGTGGGAGCTCCAATCTCCCAATCTAAATTTTTTGATTTTTTGATTTAAAAAAAAAATAACTTAGCATTTATTAACTTCTCCCAACCCCCAAACTTTACCCTGATAATAACACTCTAATGCATAAAGAACATGCATAAAACAAATTTCTTGAAAAGTTCAACACATATGAATTCCTTGAAAAGTCCCAACACATATAATTATTATCAAAATATTAAACTTTAATATAATATAAAATAAAATAAAAAGACATTTAATTTCTTGAAAAGTCTAACACATATGATTATTATCAAAATATTAAACTTTAATAAAATATAAAAAAAAAGAAGACATTTAAAAATTATGATTTACATATATAAATAATTATAAACACAACCCGTGCATAGTAGGGGTGATGTGCTAGTTAAAGTAATTGGAAAGACAGGTTCTTATATTGACTTGTGTATTTCTTTTGGGTCATGCTTAAGTGTGCAACCCCCTTAAGGTTGCACACCATATGCAACCCAATTGTTAGCCGTTAGATTACAATAATTGATCAAGACCATTGAATTGTTTAATCGTGAAAAAGTTGAAACTAGGGCAACCGGTTAATGCTTGTATTTGCATGATTGCATCCCACTCACTCTCTGTATTTCGTCTCTATCTCTCTCTGTTCTCCTCTCTGTGTAAGGTTGAGTCAGTGTAACTATTGATTTCCATTAACAGGGAGAAGCCCCTGTTGGGTTCATTCCATTGACGAAGCTCTATAGGGAACAGTATGACGGGCGATTTCCAACAACAACGTAACTACAAGGCTGTGTTGGTTCCATTGCTGAAGTGAAGCCCTTCTCTCGAACTAGATATGAGGTATGGAGCTGTCTCCCTCTCTGTCTCTCTAGCCCGTTCACTTCAGCTATTTTCCCTCAACTAAACCCCCATCCTAACTTCAACCGCTCTACGCTTCGCTCCAACGGAAACCCCTCCATTGGCAGCTAACCTTTCTCTTTCTGTTTCTCAAGCGAGTGTTTGTGTTTGCACAAACAGGTAACCCGTGTGAAAATGTCATGTTTGTGTTTGTGTTAACAATTTTCGGTCATCAAGTAATTGTTGGTAGTAATGTCATGTGCAGTATGGCCCCAGCGGAAGTTAAAAGGGAAGGTGATGATTATGACATTCCAAATGAAGCAGATGACATCCGTTTGATGAATGAAAGTCGGGCAGAACCTGATCATGGTTGCGAAGCTGGTCCGAGCAATGAAGAAGCAACCAACATGAACGTTGAAGATGGCGCAGCCGATGTGAAAAAAGAAATGGTTGACGATGCTCACCGCAATGACATGGTTGGTGATGTTGAACGTGCTATTCTGGAACAGAAATTTGATTCGGTCGAAGATGGAGAAGATTTCTACAATGCGTATGCTAAAGCCAAGGGATTTAGTATACGAAAATCCAGATTTAACACAAATAAAGAGGGAAAGGTCGTTAGTAGGCTGTGGTTGTGTTCAAGGAAAGGTCAGAGATTACCAATATACTTGGACCGTGTTGCTGAGAAGAGTAGAGCTCCCAAGGCACTAACAAGAGTAGGTTGCAAAGCCCAATTTCGCATACGGTACGATGCGGATGCTGGTGAAGGGGGAAAGTATGTTGTGACTCACTTCGTCGCAGACCACAACCATGAATTGGCGGAACAACACTGTGTGATGTATCTGAGGTCACATCGCAGTTTAAACAGCGGTGACAAAGCTCAAGCAATGGCTATGCGCAATGTCGGTGTGAAGACTAGCCAAATCATGGACTATATGGTAAATCAGTCCGGGTCTTATGAGAATGTTGGTTTCATCCGCACGGATCTGCACAACCATATTCAAGCCGAACGTAGAGCAGAAGTTGAGGATGGTGATGCGCAGGGTGCGTTGGTTTACCTATGCGCAAAACTTGATGTTGATGCACGTTTTTTTTACAAGTATGATGTGTGTAACGATAACAAGTTACAAAATCTGTTCTGGGCAGATTCGAAATCGCGGGCCGACTACGCAAAGTTTGGTGATGTGTTGATATTTGACTCAACTTACAGAACCAATGCATACAAGAAACCGTTTGTCATGTTGGCTGGTGTGACTAGCCACTTTAGGACCAAGATATTTGCATGTGTTTTGCTAGCTAATGAGACAATTGAGACATACACATGGGTTTTGGAAACATTTATGGAGGCGATGGGCAATAAAGCACCTGTGTCCGTACTGACAGATGGGGATAAGTCGATGCGAGAGGCAATCAGAAGAGTATTTCCAGATGCAAGACATCGATTATGTAATTGGCATCTTGGGAAAAATGCTGTTTCAAATGTTCACATAAGTGGCTTTGCACATGCTTTCAAGCAGTGCATGGACATGGAAACGGATGAGACAAAGTTTGAGCATGGCTGGACGACAATGGTCGAAGAATTTGGACTTCAAACCAACAGTTGGGTGTTGGAGACATATGAGAAGCGTCATATGTGGGCTGAGGCATATATGCGTGGACATTTCTTTGCTGGGATGAAGAGCACTCAGCGCTCGGAGTGTATGAATGCTTATTTCAATCCCTTCCTCCAACACAAATTGAAGCTATATGAATTTGTTAGGCACTATGATCGGGCTCTTGCAAGGATAAGGTATAACGAGGCTAGAGATGATGCTGAAACAAATAACACTTTTCCGGTATTGATTACTCCATTGCGAGATATAGAGAGACATGGAGCTGAGCTATTCACCCGAAATATATTTAGAATGTTCCGTGATGAAATCTTAGAAGAGGGGAAGTTGAATGTGAAGGATGTGTTCCCTTTGCCGGATGGTCAGAAATGCTACTATATTCATAAGTACAGAGTGAAGGACAGATCATGGATAGTAACACACAGTCCAATGGATGCTGCAATGAGATGTTCTTGCATGAAGTTTGAGTCGTTGGGGCTACCTTGCTGCCACATGATATGTGTTATGAAAGCTGAAAATTTAACGCAAATTCCCCCAACTTGTGTGCTGCATAGATGGACAAGGGCTGCAAGCAAGGATGGCCAGCAATGGCCTCAACCCTCAATTGATAGCACTACAACACAGACGGCCCGGTATGGGATATTGTGTTCTTCCTACAACGAAATGTGTTTCTATGCCTCGCAATCAACGGAAGGTTTCAAGGATGCTAGGGATGCATGTCTTCCAATGACGACCCGGATGAAGGAGTTATATGAGAGGAATTTGAACAGTGGGAATGGAGACAAAGGGAAACATTCATTCCCTCGACAATTTGGAGTAGAAGATCCTAATGTTATGAAGACAAAAGGGAACCCAGGACGGGCCTCGTCCAACTGTCAAAGACCAAGAAAATGTGGGAAATGCAAATGCATTGGCCACACGAAACGAACGTGTCCTAAGGTGCAGTTTAGCCAAACAATGGGTAGTACCTTGGCTGCAGATACAATCCACATCAGTGACCGTGAGAACAATGCAGACTCATCGCCCATTTGCTACAAAACTGGGTTAGTGGATCCAAGTACACCGCACATTAAGCAACGACGACTATTTTTCGATGTTTCTCCTAATTCCAAGCAGCCTGTGGGCCAATACGGTAATGTTGAAGCAGCAGTGTGCAAAAATGATTCGACCACAATTGATGAGGTGAATCAGGTAATTGTATAATTTGTATGATTTACTTATTCCCTTAATTTATTAGGTAGACAGTACTAGCTATTGAAAACACATGGAAATAATGTATGTAGTTTTCATTTTGCACGGATTGCTGTACGTAACGTGTAAATAATTGGTTATGTACAATGCCAGGAAATGGCACAACGTTACTTATGTACAAGGCCACGAGTTGTAAATTTCCCATATTGTTTAGAGTGATGTTGTCATTTGTGTTTGCAGCGACTTGTCATTTTCAAAACTAACTGAAGGAGAGGTGAGATATATATTAAAATATTAAACTTTAATATAATATAAAAAAGGAAAAAAAAGGACATTTAAAAAAAAAAAAAAGACATTTAAAAATTACAATTCACATATATAGATAATTGTAAACACAATCCGTGCATAGCACGGGTGATATGCTAGTCTATACTATATATTAAGCAAAATGAAGTTTTTAACCCCCAAGGCCTGTGGGAGTTTCAATATGTCAATCTTAATTTTCTAATTTTTTATTTTTTTTTTTAAAAAAATAAACCTTAGGATTTATTAACTTCTCTCAACCCACAAGACTTTTTGACTACTCTCATAATTACTGCAGTATCTTTTCCAAAAAAAATAATTTGCATATTAAAAAAAATTTAAAACAAATATAAATATCTATATCTGTATCTATCTATTTAGACTTTTTGACTTCTCTCATAATTACCGCAGTACCTTTTCCAAAACAAATAATTTGTATATTAAAAAAATTTAAAACAAATATAAATATAAATATCTATATCTATATCTATCTATTTATTTATATCTATCTCTAACCCACAAGTTTTGTGGGAGTTTCAATATCTGAACCTTAATTTCTTAATTTCTTTGATTTTTTTTGAAAAAAAAAAAACACTTAGCACTTATTAAATTCTTCCAAATCTTTTTAACTTCTCCAATACACACACTCTTTTTAACTTTTCACATACCTATTGCAAACAGTAAGTCTCTTTTTTGTTTTCTCATTTTTGACTTCCCACTTCTACACTTTCAACTTCAGTGACCACGAATGCAAACAGTAAGTCTTCTTTTTGTTTTCTCTTTCTTGACTTTTCCTTTTGTTTATTGTGTTTAATATTGTAGTTAGATAGCGCATAAAAATATTTGTGATTTGGCTAGCGAATAAAAAATTATAATTTGATTTTTTAATATGATTGAAGTTAAATAAATATAAACTCTTACAAAGAGAAAAATGTGATTATAATTAGTTGAATGATTCTTTTTTTTAATGTGATTGTAGTTAGTTTAATAGTTTTTTTTTCATTTATTTATTTTATTATGTGAAAAATGTGATGTGATTGTAGTTTGTTCAATGGCTTTTTTTTTTTTAATATAATCGTTGTAATTAGTTCAACGGTTTTTTTAATATTATTTAATCTTTTTATTTACTATTTTAATTTTATTTTTGATTTTTTTAATATGATGAAATTAGATAAATATAAACCCTCACATAGAGAAAAATGTGATTATAATTAGTTTAATAATTCTTTTTTTTTAATGTGATTGTAGGTAGTTTAATAGTTGTTTTTTTCATTTATTTATTTTATTATGGGAAAAATTTGATGTGATTGTAGTTTGTTCAATGGCTCTTTTTTTTTAATATAATTGTTGTAGTTAGTTCAATGATTTTTTTTAATGTTATTTAATCTTTTTATTTATTATTTTAATTTTAGATAAATATAAACATTCACAAAGAAAGAAAATGTGATTATAGTTAGTTCAATGGTTCTTTTTTTCATTTGTTTATTTTTTTTATTATGAAAAAAATGTGATGTGATTGCAGTTTGTTCCATGGTTCTTTTTTTTAATGTGATTTAATCTTTTATTTACTGTTTTAATGATTTTTCTTTACAATTATTTATGAAAAAAATATGATTGTAGTTAGATAGCATAAAAATATTTGTGATTTGATTTGATTTTTTTTGTGATTTGATTTTTAAAGTACCAATTATTGATAATAATTAGATTGTATTTTGAAAAAAAAATTGTAATTAATTTTTTTAACTCAATGTGTTTTTTGAAAAAAAATTATTGTGTTTTTTTAACTATCAATTCACTTAATTTATGATTTGATTTTTAACTCACTGTGTTTTTTGAAAAACAAAATGGATTGTACTCATTAGGGTGACATAATGTCCCATTTATTGATGATCATTATCTCCTTCTTGACTTCTTACTTCTGCACTTTCAACTTCAGTGACAATATATGCAAACAATAAGTTTTCTTTTTATTTTCTCCTTCTTAACTTTTCCTTTTGTTTACTGTTTTAATATTGTGTTTAAATAGCGCATAAAAATATTTGTGATTTGCTTAGTGAATAAAAAATTATAATTTGATTTTTTAATATGATTGAAGTTAGATAAATATAAACAGAAAAATGTGATTGTTGAATGATTCTTTTTTTTAATGTGATTGTAGTTAGTTTAATAGTTATTTTTTTCATTTATTTATTTTATTATGTGAAAAATGTGATGCGATTGTAATTTGTTCAATGACTCTTTTTTTTCCATATGATTGTTGTAGTTAGTTTAATGGGGTTTTTTTTTTTAAATGTTATTTAATCTTTTTATTTAATATTTTAATTTTATTTTTGAAGTTAGATAAATATAAACCCTCACAAAGATAAAAATGTGATTATAATTAGTTGAAAGATTTTTTTTTTTTTAATGTGATTGTAGTTAGTTTAATAGTTCTTTTTTTCATTTATTTATTTTATTATGGGAAAAATGTGATGTGATTGTAGTTTATTCAATGGCTCTTTTTTTTAATATGATTGTTGTACTTAGTTCAATGTTTTTTTTTTAATGTTATTTAATCTTTTTATTTATTATTTTTATTTTATTTTTAATATGATTGAAATTAGATAAACATAAATACTCACAAAGAAAAAAATGTGATTGTAATTAGTTCAATGGTTCTTTTTTTTTTAATATGATTGTAGTTAGTTAATGGTTATTTATTTATTTATTTATTTATTTTTATTATAAAAAATGTGATGTGATTGTAGTTTGTTCAATGATTCTTTTTTTTTTAATGTGATTTAATATTTTATTTACTGTTTTAATGGTTTTTTTTTACAATTATTTATGAAAAAAATATGATTGTAGTTAGATAGTATAAAAATATTTGTGATTTGATTTTTAAAGTACCAATTGTTGATAATGATTAGATTGTATTTTGAAAAAAAAATAGTAATTGATTTTTTTAACTCACTGTATTTTTTAAAAAAAAATTATTGTGTTTTTTTAACTATCAATTTACTTAATTTGTGATTTGATTTTTAACTCACTGTATTTTTTAAAAAACAAAATGGATTGTACTCATTAGAGTCACGCAATGTACCAATTATTGATGATGATTAGATTGTATTTTGAAATTGTAATTGAATATTTTTTAACTCACTATGTTTTTTTGAAAAATAAATTATTGTGTTTTTTTAATTTCGTAATTATCAATTGACTTAACTTGTGATTGATTTTTTTAATTATTGATGATGATTAGATAGCATTAAAAAATTGTGATTTGTACGATTGGAGTTATCTCCTTTTGTTTATAATTTTATTTTTTAATATAATTGAAGTTAGATAAACATAAACACTCACAAAAAGAAAAATGTGATTGTAATTTGTCCAATGGTTCTAAATAATCTTTTTTATTTACTATTTTAATGGTTATTTTTTAATTATTTTTTTTATTATGAGAAAAATGTCATTGTAGTTAGATAGCATTAAAAAAAGATTAATGAATAAAAAAGATTTCTTAAAAAGTCCAACACATATGAATTCCTTGAAAAGTCAAACACATATGATTATTATCAAAATATAAACTTTAATATAATATAAAAAAAAAGATATTTAAAAATCATAATTCACATATATAGATAATTGTAAATACAACCCGTGCATAGCACGGGTGATATGCTATTCTATACTTACTATACATTAAGCAAAAGAGGGTTTCTAACCCACAAGTCTTGTGGGAGCTCCAATATCTCAATCCTAATTTTCTAATTTTTTGATTTAAAAAAAAAAACTCAACATTTATTAATTTCTCTCAATCCCCATGCTTTTTGGGAGATTTGGTCAAAACTCCCTCATAATTATTTAATCGTTTTATTTGTTATTTTAATGGTTCTTCTTTACAATTATTTTTTTTATTATGAAAAAAATATGATTGTAATTAGATAACATAAAAATATTTGTGATTTGTATGATTGAAGTTATCTCCTTTTTTGATATATTTGGTCTAGCCAAAAAAAAAAATTATAATTTGTATTTGGTTTGACAATTTCTTCTTTTGTGTACTATTTTAATGGTTCTTTTGATTGAAATTATCTCCTTTTGTGATTTGTAAAAAAAAAAAAAAAATTATAATTTGATTTTTTAATATGATTGAACTTAGATAAATATAAATACTCACAAAGAGAAAAATGTGATTGTAATTAGTTCAACAGTTTTTTTTTAATGTGATTGTAGTTAGTTCAATGATTATTTTTTTTAATGAGATTGTATTGTAATTAGTTTAATGGTTCTTTTTTTTTTCATTTGTCTTTTTTTTATTATAAGAAAAATGTGATGTGATTGTAATTTGTTAAATGGTTCTATTTTTTAATGTGATTGTATTATAGTTAGTTCAATGGGGTTTTTTTTTATTTACTTTTTTTTTGTTATGAGAAAAATGTGATGTGATTGCAGTTTGTTCAATGATTTTTTTAATGTGATTTAATTGTTTTATTTACTATTTTAATGGTTCTTCTTTACAATTATTTTTTTTATTATGAAAAAATATGATTGTAGTTAGATAGCATAAAAATATTTGTGATTTGTCTGATTGAAGTTATCTCCTTTTTTGATTTGTTTTTTGGTCTAGCTAAAAAAAAATTATAATTTGATTTTTTAAGATGCTTGAAGTTAGATAAATATAAACACTCATAAAGAGAACAATGTGATTGTAGTTAGTTCAACGGTTCTTTTTTTTTAATGTGATTATAGTTAGTTCAATGGTTCTTTTTTTTTTTTAAATGT